GACACTATACCTCACATTTGGTTAGCATGTTAAAATTTCCAAAGTGCTATAATAACTCATTTTATTTAGTTGGACAGGTGAGAACTCTGAGGGTACCAAACGACTTAGCCAATTTCACCATAAGATAGTGACTGAGCCAGAGGTCACATTTGATCTTCAAACATCATTCTCGTCATTCTTTCCTTTATATCACATTGATTCCCTCTTCAGTGCTTGGATTTTACTAGGGAAGCACAGTGGCAATTTCAAAGAAATATTTCAAGTTTATACAGATACTTAAAGGCTCAAAATGTCAGAGAACTAACATTCTTTATATCCCCAATAGCAAGATTTGGCTATTTGGAATTTTATTCTCAGTAATAGGATAAACGTGAAATCCTAGCATCTCATTAACTTCTCCATCTCCCTTCCCTCAACATCTGATAAATTTTCCTGATAGGTGAATTCTAATTCCTAAATCTCTCTTGCATCCAGCTCCTGTTTTCTATTTCCACAGCCCTAATGTGTGTTATCACACAATAACCTCTTTGTCTCTGTTTTATTCACATTGCACTTCTCATACAATGGCCCAAGGTTAATAGTTTCAAAACCCAATGCAAATAATGACATGTGTCTTCTTGTCTGCCCCAGCTCCGAAACTTTAATAATCTTCCTTTGACTACAGTTTAAATTCTTAACTTGATAATCTGGCTTTCAAGGCCCACAGCAATCTGGCTTTAATATTTCTTTCCAAACCTTGAGACAGTCCTCCTTTCCGGATGGGAGTAGTAGACACTGCTATTCCGGAGCCAGCTCACAGTAGCCTGCAAGAGCTATTTTTATGCCTCTCTGTTCATCTCTGTGTTCAGTGATGTCACATTAGTAGCTTGAAATTGACAGTGGTGGGAATACTTATACCTTACAAATCAGACTGCTACAATTCAGAGCTTATTTTCTTTGTTTGAGGAGCTAGTTATTAGACATTTACCAGCATACCACTATTTACAGGCTAACTGGGACTAAACTTGAGAGTGAGGCTGCAATATGGTATTGGGGACCAAGTTGTTGACACAGAAAGCCAGGTACCAACTCAAAGATAGAAGGTCGGGGGTGGGGAAAGAACAAGAAGCTGTGTTGCAAAACTGTTGAGAAGGCAGACCTGGGCAAAAGTTGAGTTTCCAGAGAAACAGACACTAAGGAAGGAATTTGGGTCTAAATAGTTGATTTAGGAGGTGGTCCCAGGAAGCACTGGTAGGGTAGTGAGGGAAATGAGACAGGGAAGGGAAGGCAGCTAATACAGGGTCAGATTGATGAGCAGGTTATTACTGTGGGCAATTGAGGTTCAACTCCACTGGGAACCTTTTGGGGAGCATGTAAAATATGCCTCATAGCTGCCACTGCTATAATTTGTATATCACCTGAAAAGCTTGTGTTGAAATATAAGTGGCATTGTGATGGTAGTAAGAGGTGGGACTGTTAAGAGATGTTTATAACATGAAGAGATGTTTAGAACCTGTCCTCATTAATAGATTAATGTGGTTATCGCCAGGCGCAGTGGCTCACGCCTATAATCCCAGCACTTTGGGAGGCCGAGGCGGGTGGATCACGAGGTCAAGAGATCGAGACCATCCTGGTCAACACGGTGAAACCCCATCTCTACTAAAAAAACAAAAATACAAAAATTAGCTGGGCATGGTGGTGCACGCCTGTAGTTCCAGCTACTCGGGAGGCTGAGGCAGGAGAATTGCTTGAACCCAGAAGGTGGAGGTTGCAGTGAGCCGAGATCGTGCCATTGCACTCCAGTCTGGGTAACAACAGCGAAACTCCGTCTCAAAAAAAAAAAATAGATTAATGTGGTTATCACAGGAGTGGGTTTTGTTATCGAGAGAATAGGTTGTTACAAAAGCAATTTCAACCATCTCTGTCTCTCCCTCTCACCCTCTCTTGCCCTTCTACCTTCTGCCATGGGATGACAATGCACAAAGGCCCTCTGCAGATGCCAGAACCATGCTCTTGGACTTCCCAGCCTCCAGAACTGTGAGCCAAATCAAACTATCCCAGTCTGTGGTATTCTGTTACAGCAACACAAAATGGACTAAGCCACCCGCATGAAGAGTGAGGAATATGAGAAGTTTATCCTCAAGAAGATAGCAGTGGGTGTTTGCATTAAGAGTGGCAGGTACTTAGGGGAAGACAGAATGCCAAGGGGATATAAACGGGACACAGACAATCATAGTTTTTTGTCTTCATAGTATGGTTGGTGGTGGTGGGGCTTCATTTCAATGGCCAATGATGGAGTGTATTTTTCCAGTTATATATCATTTGTTGTTATCCTACACACTCTATTAGTTCCTTTCTTTGGGTCTACTCACAGATTCCCTTTTTTGCTACAATATCCTTTGTAGCTCCCTCCAGTTTTGACTATTTTCTGATTCTTGCAATTCATCAAAAATCAGTGCCACCTTTTCAGGAACCCCTTCTAATCCCCACCCCCTGATGATAGAAGTTGGATGAGGGTCAAGTCAAGCTGGAGGTCTCCTGTGGCTCGAAGCAAGGGAGCAGGTAACCAGCCCCTCCCCTGGTTAAGATGTTTGGGGTGGGAGAACAGAGACAGAAATCATACTCTGGAGTCATTCCAAATGGTGAATTCTATATGGGAAGGAACTCATCACTCCTGTTTATCACTCTATCTCTCAGAACCCACACAGCTCAGAGAATTGGCTTATGATGGCTGCACAATTGTTGATGGTGGCAGAGAAAAATGGATGGATAGAAGGCTAGGTGAACAAAGATAACTAGATTAGTACCCAAACAAGGAAGTTAAAATTGAATTAGAGGGATCATGGGGTTAATAAGAGCCCTTGGATAAATTCTGAGGATGAACATCAGAGCCTGTAAAGTAAAACAGACTCCACATATGACACAATCAGCAGAAGCTGGGTAGTTGAAATCTACCCCTCAACAGTGGTGCAATCTTGACTCACTGCAACCTCTGTCTCCTGGGTTCAAGTGATTCTCATGCCTCAGCCTCCCAAGTAGCTAGGATTACAAGTCCATTGAGATGTCCTGCCTTTTGAGATTCAGTGAAATTGCCTTCAACTTCATCCCACTGCGTTGCAGCTCCCTTTTCCCATTTCTCTGGCAGTTACTGGTATCTTAACTTTTTCTTAGTTCCCTCTGGCTTTGAGTTTCTGCCTCTGCAGTGTTGGGAGGGTTTGTGAGTTGCTTTGGCATCTTGAAAATGCTGACTGTACTCTCTAGCATGGAACTGCCGACACTTCTTGATTTCTCTCCAATCATTACCATTATGAGTTGTGTGTATGGCTAGCACAGTTCAGTGAAGATATGGGGTAAAGCTATGGACTTTATATTAGCATGTGGTTTGGGTTCTTCTCCCTCAAGCTCCATGCAAACATTCAACTTCCCTCCTGTATTACATGGAATTCTTTTGCTCTCTGAAACCTATTCAACAAGTGGCCTTGTTTGCCTCTTCAAAGATGCTTTATCATGTTTTCAAATTCACTCTCTCCCTTCTCATCTCTGTGACTTTGCAAGCAGTTGCTTCTGCCTCAAATATTCTTTCCAGAACGGAAGATCTGACAGACATTTGGAAATGTCAGTCTTTCCCCTCACTTCATCTCACATCATTCTCTGTAAGTAGAAGGAAATGGTGTCAATATTTATTTATCTACTAGTATTATGACATCACAAACATCTCGGCTCCTGAAGTAGCCATAGTTGGTTATTAAATAACACTTTTTGGTATTCTACAAATTTCTAGCAAATATTTACCTGGGTTTGCTAAAGTCATATAGATTGACCAGAAGAGGCAGCCCTGCCCCTGCCCCACCTCTCCTTCCTCCTACCCTTCCTACCTTAGAGCTCTCCCTCTTCTCTGAAGGTGGACAATTTAGTCTGGACCTCTCCTATAGGCTTGTATTATGGATATTTGTTTACAAATCATACCACCTTTACTGAACTGTGAACTCTGCAAATGTGATGTCATCTTCTCTTTCTGAAACTTCAGTGTAGCCTGGTTTCTGAAACAGAATAGATTGAATCATATGATTTATAACTGAGGATAAGTGAATAAATGTGAGGTTGCAGACAGCCCTTTAGTGATCTGAATAAGCTGCAAGAGGAGGAGCATATGGTATCCTCACTTCCCACTTCTACTGTGGGCTCCTGCTAGAATCAATAGGCAACTATTCCTCCCCTCCCCTCCCCTCCCCTCCCCTCCCCTCCCCTCCCCTCCCCTCCCCTCCCCTCCCCTCCCCTCCCCTCCCCTCCCCTCCCCTCCCCTCCCCTCCCCTCCCCTCCCCTCTTCTTTCTCTCTTCCTTCTGTGATATAGCTATATCACAGCTAGAGTTAGAACCTGTACAATGCCATTTTATAAAAAGACAAAACTGTTTCCATTCTCCTCACAATGACTGCTAGCCATGGCTTCTGTAAACTACTCAGTTTAACTTGAAAAATGCAAAGAGAGGTAAAGCTGCATACTTTCTCTTATCTGTAACTGCCAAAATTGCTGGCCTTTGATCACCAGTAATGGCCAGAGTAAGCACCCCCGAATAATTCCATTCTGGCGCCAAGTAACTCCTACCCAGATGATGTGTAAGCAAATGGTTATCTTGACTTCTGCAAATCTCTCCCTAGCCCTCGGAATGTCTGGAGCCCCCCACCCTCGTCTCAGCCTAGGAGGTGATTTACAGCCTTTCATCCCATCTCTGCTCCTCACTCCCACTCCCAAAGTGGTTTTGCAGGTATAAAAAGGTCTTGTCACTCTTCTTTCTCTGCCACGGGTTGGAGAGACGTGAGTCCTCCATGGTCGCCGGCAATAAACCCTGCAATTTGGCATACTTTTGTCCTGGTGTTGACTTTCTGTGCTAGGTCTGATACAACACTTCCTTCCTCCTTTCCTTCCCCTCCCCTCCCCTCCCCTCCCCTCCCCTCCCTTCCCCTCCCTTCCCCTTCCCTCCCCTCTACTCCCCTTCCCTTCCCTTCTTTTGCTTTCCTTTCCTTTCCTTTTTCCTTTCCTGAGTCTCTATCTCCCAGGCTGCAGTACAATGGTGCAATCTTGGTTCACTGCAACTTCCGTCTCCTGGGTTCAAGCGATTCTCATGCCTCAGCCTCCGGAGTAGCTGGGATTACAGGTATACACCACCAGGCTAGGCTAATTTTTGTATTTTTGGTAGAGACAGGGTTTCGCCACATTGGTCAGGCTTGTCTCCAACTCCTAGCTCAAGTGATCCACCTGCCTCGGCCTCCCAAAGTGCTGCGATTATAGGTGTCAGCCACAGCCCCAGCCAGCAACTCTTTCTTTATTGAAGACTTATGTGCAAGGCACAAGGGGAGCTCTAGGACTGAGATATTTTACTATACCTTCTCTATCTTCTTGCACCCCCAAATAGTTTCCAGAGGACTACTTTCTATTTGTTTTTGTGGAAAGACTGGCAATTAGAAGTAGAAAAATGAAATAAATGAGAATAGTACTACTTAATGCTGTTTATGCAGTGCTAATTTGCATTTTCTAAATGAGTTACTTCTATGTACCTTCACAGCAGCCAGAACTGCAGTGCCTTGCATATATTATATGCTCAATGAGTACTTGTAAATTTATTTTGTACATGCATGTGACAGTATAAATATATTATGAAAAATGAGGAGGCTGGGCACTAAAAGAGTAGGATTTCTTCTACAAAAATACACAGTAGTGGAGCTTGGCATAAAATTCAAATGCTCCTGCACTCTGCCCTGTGGTATCTCTAGCTAGGGGACTTTGATAAGGAAGCTGAAGGGTGATATTACCTTTGCTCCCTCACTGCAACTGAACACATTTCTTAGTTTTTAGGTGGCCTCCGCTGGCTAACTTGCTGTGGAGTTTTCAAGAGCATAGAATCATCCTTTTTACTGTTAAAAGAAGATGCTGTTTAATCTGAGGATCCTGTTAAACAACGCAGCTTTTAGAAATGGTCACAACGTCATGGTTCGAAATTTTCGGTAAGTGATGGTCAGAGATTTGTGTTTGATTTAGGAACTGTGGTGATGCAGTAAGGCCTCTCTGCAGAGTGTGGTGCCACACTCTGCTTAACTCTTATTTGAGACAGTTGCCTCTACTTTCAGCGGAGCTTTCATTTCTCAGTTGTTCTGTAATCACATTTCATCGTGTGCTGTAGGGGAAGCCACCCATGGCAGGTATAACAGACTAAATGTTCTTGACATCTTCCTTTTGTGTACATTCTAAACAAGCAAGTAGCTGAAGGAAATTTGGGGAAGTAACTTACACAAGGCCTTCAGCTTGTATTTGGGCTTGCTAGAAAATGATATTTCACTCTAGGGTGTTGAGACTAATCGGTTCCTTTGAAAAAACAGACTCCAAATAGCAGCTAATAAATACTGATAAAGCCGCTGCAAAGAAGCCTTATATGCGATGGGGATAATGATATTTGTAAACAAAATACGAGTTTGAAAAACCATTCCTGAAATTTTTGCTGGCATGTGCAAAGCAGGCTGTCTCCAAAGAATTCATTATAAAAGTTTGCATCCTGTTTACAACCATTGCACATGTTGTTGAAGATGGCATGTAGTGTGTCAGCGGGGAAGGGGAAAGAGAAGGGGAAGGGAACAGGGGATATGAGTTAGCTGGGTAAGCAAGGCCATCAGGTGGAGACATCACTATCAGAAGGCTTTTAGAACAGTTTCTTGTGAATAATCAGATAGAATTTCCACAGAGCTTCTTTATAACCTTAAACAACCTCCCCGACTTTCTTAAGGAAGAAGCTTTTGGTCTGAAGTTTCCTTCTATTGTTAGAAAGTGGACCTGTGACAGTGGCCATGGGTATCCCTTCTCTGGACCATATGACAGTTCTAGGTTCTCTGGACTCCACCATTGGCACTACTTCTTTAGTGAATATAAGGCTTTTTAACAAGACATCGTCACTGAGTTGAAAAGATCCAACTGAAAGAAGAGAGCCTAATACCTAAGTATTATAGGCTTAATTTATAATATCATTTAAGGTGTCATTCTGGCTCTGAGGTCTATAGATGAGACCTCAGAGCCATGGAATAATGCCTTCTCTTATTTTATTTTGGGAGGAAATGTAATTTTTATTTCTTAAATAGCTCAAATATTCAGTTGAAATTGTTTCACTTCTCTTATGATTACGGGGTTTACCAATCCATGCCAGTTGGACTAGATAACAACGTGGAGAAAAGTCGAAAGAACTAGGTTCAAGGCCTACCACCACCCTTGCTGGCTATATGACCTTGAACAAGTCACTAAACTTTTCTGCAATGTTGTTTCATCTATAAAATGGAAAAAAAGTTAATACTTGTTCTGCCTATATTACAGGGTGTTTCAATCATTCATTCAACAAATAATTGAACTTCTACCTTGTGCCATGTTCTATCAAGGAGTTGGAGATACACTAGTAAATAAAATAAAAATATACTTTACTCCAGCTACATGAAGTCATAGTTTGGTGACAATCAATGAGATCATGTATATGAAACCTTAAAAGTGACAGACCAATATTCATTATTTATTTTAGTATTCCACTACACTGAATTACATCAGATAAAAATATGATGAAATTTTATTCCATAGTTTTTAACAAGACATCATCACTGAGTTGAAAAGATCCAACTGAATGAATAACCAAAGTCTGGAACTTAAACTTATACTGTTCTTTGAAAATTACAGTGATAATTGATTTTTAAAATACTTATTACAAGTTAAATATTGCAAGTAAAACCTCTTCCAAGGAGTTGGGCGTGTGTGTGTGTGTGTGTGTGTGTGTGTGTTTGTGTATTTACTAATACACTACTGTCTATATCCAGGAGCCAGACTACGTTTCTGAAAATCCTGGTGAGCTATTTCTTACAGTGAATGGGAGCTGGCGCAAAAGTATGCCTAAATCAGCCCAAATCCAAACGTGTTATTTGAAAATGTGAAAGCCTCAAGTCACCCATGTTGTTCGAAACTCAATAGCGTGAATCTCTATTGAAAAGTGAGATAATGTCGAAATGGTTTCGACATGCATTCTCATGTGGCATAGGTATTTTACTTTCCTACTGTATTAGTTAGTTGCACTACCTGTAGGCTAGATAAATTCAGAATTTCTGATCTCCAATAAGACCTGTAACCTTTGACAAAGCCCTCAATAACAGAGAAAAACTCCCTGTCAACTCTGCCTGTTCTATGTTTTTACTCTGATTTTCAGTGTTTCACAGGGATTCACATTATTTTTTTCTCCCGTATTTCTTGGGAAAGGTGGAGAGCCCTTGTTAAGTAACGTACTGTGTGAGTTTACTACTCCAGAGTAATTAGGAAATATATGGTTAGAGTTTGATAGTGCCACAAAATAGGAATCACAGTTTTGAAGTGAGCAGCCATATTGCCATGGACATGATAAAATAATAGGTTAAGTGAGGCTGAAGCCATCCACACAGCCCATGGATCAATCACTTTTAGTCAGTTAATTTTTTTAAACAAAATCAATAGAATCAGAAACCAAGACTGCTGAAAACACCCAATTCACAGGCTTTCCATGTCATTAACAAAGCTCTAAAGGCTTGCTGTGTTTGGGTAATAGAGAATGTCCTATGATTTGTTGTCTTTTAGGGAAAACACTTAGAGCTTTTTAAGAAAAGACTAAAAAAAAATCTCTTTCTTTATCAGAAAAGACCAATTTGCAAGCGCAGTTCAATTTCATCTCACAAATAGAAATTTATTCAGAGAATATTGAGCTAAGCCACCCAATTCTGTGGAGGTTATGGATTGGAGCCACAGGTGACTGGTTTTCAGGTATTTCATTCCAGACCTCTATAAGGGTTCACATAACTCATTATGATCCCCCCCCATCTGTCACACATGCCCATCCATACACACATGGACATACAGGCAACGTGTTGTAAGACATTCATGTTCTCGCATAGAGGAGAGAAAACAGTGCACTTTGATTATTCACAACGTCAAAACTTAATATGAATGCCTTTAAAAAACATCACCTCAGCCAAGTGCGGTGGCTTACGCTTGTAATCCCAGCACTTTGGGAGGCTGAGGTGGATGGATCACCTGAAGTCAGGAGTTCAAGACCGGTCTGGCCAACATGGTAAAATCGCATCTCTACTAAAAATAAAAATAAAAATAAAAATTAGCCGAGCCTGGTGGCACACATCTGTAATCCCAGCTACTCAGGAGGCTGAGGCAGAAGAATCACTTGAACTTGGGAGGCGGATGTTGCAGTGAGCCGAGATCACGCCAATGCACTACAGCCTGGGTGACAGAGGGAAAATCTGTCTCAAAAAAAAAAAAATTCACTTCACTTCAGAAAACCATAAAAGAGATGGCACCAAAAATTGAATGGGGTCATGATGTTTTCCTTCGCCAACAGTGGAATTTGTTTCCTGGTTTATATTTAGTAATTTAACTTAGATAAAAGAAGCCACTGATTTTTTTTTTTTTTTTTTTTTTTGAGACAGAGCTTCGCTCTTGTTACCCAGGCTGGAGTGCAATAGTGCGATCTCGGCTCACCGCAACCTCTGCCTTCTGGGTTCAGGCAATTCTCCTGCCTCAGTCTCCCGAGTAGCTGGGATTACAGGCACGCACCACTATGCCCAGCTAATTTTTTGCATTTTTAGTAGAGATGGGGTTTCACCATGTTGACCAGGATGGTCTCGATCTCTTGACCTCGTGATCCACCCGCCTCAGCCTCCAAAAGTGCTGGGATTACAGGTGTGAGCCACCTGATTTTTGACAGTTTCAGGTTTCCAGACCTTTAATAGTAGGTCTGCAGAAATCTAGCCTTCATCTGAATTCTTCAGTTTTCAGATGGGAAGTTTCACAATTTTAGAATATTAATGATCTAAGGTATCTTAGAAACCACTAGTCACTCAGTGATCAATAATAATGTTCTTGTCACAAGACCAGGAAAGGTTAGGCTCGAAGACACTTTGAAGGGTGAAGGGGAGTGGAATTTATTGGGCAAAAAGGTAAAAAACTCAGCAAAGCCAGAGGGGTTCCTGTTAACAGGCCGCCATCTCACAGACTGAATGCCAGGAATAGGAGAGGCCCAGCTCCTCCCCACCTGCGAACCTCCCAGAAGCCCCACCCTGTCCTCCCAGGAGCATTATTCAGAAAAAATCAGTCAGGGGAGTTGGGGGAAAGGGCAGGCCTCATCCAGGACAAGCAATCCTGTTTTTCAGCCTACAGGCTGTTTTAGGCTTGACCATGGGGTTTCGCTGGGGACTGGGGGGACCCTGGCTGTCTCCTGACTCTATCAGTAATTCATATCACATATGGGTATGTGGCAACAGTAAGGAGGGTTTCAAGTAAATTTTTATTAATACATTATTATTGTTATTATTAATAGGAAAGTAAGTAAATTTGGAAATAATTTGTGAGTTTTTTTGACATCAGTGGAATCAGTGCAAGGTTTTTATTTTTTGGTGAAAATAAAGCTCCTTTCTCTTGCATGCATTCTAATATGCCTTTTTGAGAAGGAAAGAAGGGGACAGAATTAAAGTTAGGCCACTGAAAATTCGCGTGGCCCCAGTTTACAAACTTCATGAGTGTGGGGGAAGACATAGACACAGAGAACCGTTGATTTCGTTCAGTTTCTTAAATTTTCAGACGAAGAATTGAGGCTTGAGATGGCAAATAACTTTCCCAAGCCATTGTTTATTCCTAAATCTGAACTGAACTAGGACTACAATTCAAATATTTAAAGACACTGGTATTTTCATTTCATTGCTTGTATTACTTTGATTCCTTTGCATTGATCAAGTTGGCCAATCTACCTTTGCTTAATAATTTTTTTTTAGGTACAGCCAGAATATCTCAGTAAAGACAGGCGCGCACACACACACACACACACACACACACACACACACACAAGAAAATATGCCTTAGCTCTTGCATTAATGCAAGGTTAAAGAAACATAAAAATCTCAGTCATAGGCCCATTGGCCCCCTCTTACATCTCCAGAAGTTAAAGTCT